AAAATAACTCAAAGTAGAACAAATACCTAAACAGCCAAGACCAGTCACAATTGGCATAAAATCTTTCTGGCTTATAAAAACTAGTCAAAACCAGTGTTCAAAATTGTGCAATTGTTACCAAACACCAGGGGTTATGTTTGGGTCCCATTGGTCAATGGGATGAGTACTGCCAGTCACTGGGATGAGTACTGCCAGTCACTGAGATGAGTACTGCCAGGGAAGCAGGCTTATTATTTCACAGGTGACATCAACCAGTGAGATGGGAACCAAACCTCAAATTCATCCCTCCTCCTTGATTACAGTTAAGCGTTTATTGTAGTCTAGAATAAAAACAAGAGAGGGAAACAAGAGGAGTTGTTCAACAAGGAGCATGTGTATTTCATTGCACAAATGTAACTTTCTCAAGCTTTAGTTTTATGGGCATTCGGCTTGTTGGAAAATTGGGCTGGTTTCAGAATGAAAGAGTGAAAAATATTCTAAAGTCTAAGGGAATGTAAAAGGTCTCCTTTAATCTACAATAGTGAAAATCTCTCCAAAGGTTTGTGAGTGTTTCTTGCTTGTGTGTCTAGATGTCTCTGATATTGTAAGAAATATGTCAAAAAGAAACTGACAAGGCCTACATGATGCCATAGATTCTATAGTGAAGGTTTTCAAAACCTGTTGAGGCTTGTTATACTCCATCTCTACTGAGTGTGGCCAGTTGAAATCAGTGTAAACCTTTCAGAACTGGCTGAGTAGTCAGAACTTGCAGATTTTGGCTGGTCAAGGCTAATTACAGCCACTCTAAAGTGGTTATAGCCAGTTGAAACCATTCTAAGTTGGGTGGAACCAGCTATGACAAATTAGAAGTGACATAAACTGGTGCTTATTTGTTCAAGCCAGTTGTAGCCAGTCAGTGCCAGCATCAATCATTTTGGGCCAGAAGAACAGATCTAAACTGGTCAGAACCGGCAAGACCATTCAGAATAGTCATGAACTGATTTTGCCCAATCAAAACTGGTTTAGGCTGGTCAAAGCCAGTGATACCCAGTACAAACCAGTTTTGACCAGTTGGAGCTGGTCTAAATTGGTCAGAACCAGCTTAGACTGATCACAATTGGCATAAAATAAATCCAGCTTGTGAAAACCAGTAAAAACAGGTGCTCAAAATTGTACAATGAAAATGTAAAAAAGTTTCTAAAGTCTAAGGGAAAATGTGGAAGGTCCTCTTTCATCTACAATAATGATCATTCCCCTGTAGGTTGTGAGTGGTTTTTGTTTGTGTGCTCAAGTTCTAATATTTATCATGTCCCTCATTTGGTAAGAAGTCTCATAAAAAATAACAAAGCTTACCTGAGAATATAGATGATATAAATATTTTTCACTGTTACCTTCCCTGGGGAACTCAGGTGTCTATGTGCCCTAGCAGTCCTCTCTACACCTCACCAGATTTTATTCTTACCCCCATCTGATCTGATTTCTGCCCACACCATCCAATCCAGAATCAGATTCAAAGAGGAATAAGGAGTGCCTGCCTTCTGCCCTGAAGCTCCGCCTCCACCAGGAACCCAGGAAGAAGTCCACTGAAGCGGGGTTGAGGACAGGACAGCTAGGGTTTGCCCTTCAGCCCTGCACAATCTCCTTTCCTCCACCACTGGAGCAGGAGCCCTCTGTGGCAGTTCATTGGCACTGGGTTCCGGCTTGTCTTTTCCAGGAGTTCAGCAGGATGGTCTTGGGATTATAGGCGTCATGGAGGGCTGAAGAGGCTGAAGAAACATTGATGGGAGTTCTGGAAATGCACCATGGGATCCCAGCCTCAGGCCCACCTAAACGGAGTGCGAGTGAGTCTCCCCAAAAGTTGTCCCTCCTGTCACCTTGAGGACTGGCCTGCCTCTGCCCCAAGGATGCTCTCTTCCTGGAAGGGCTTCCTCACAGAGAGAAGAACCCTGCAGCCTCAGGAGCTGCCTGAGTGTGTGTGTTTCTGTGTCACTATTTTATGTCCGTGTGTGTGTGTGTGAATGTAATTTTGTGGGTTTTTGGGTGTCTATGTGTGGTGTCTAGTGAAACAGTCTTCATTTTGCATTTGTTCCCAGTTCCACATGGCAGTCGACTGTGATGTATCATGGGTGAGCTCTAGCCTGTTCCATGACCTCCATCTTTGTCTTCCCTATTTCTGATGGGTCTAGATTTTTGTACAGCTCAATCTTATCAATAAAAATCATTTTGCAGTTCATCAGGGACAACATTCTTGGGGATCCATTCAATAGCACTTCTTTTTCCACACATATTTGTTAATGATTGGGCAAGTGTGATTAGTATGGAGTTGTGGGTCTCCATTCCTTTTACCAACAAGCTAACTGTCTCGGTGCCAATTCAGATGGCTTCATTACTCACAGGATGATTATCCAGTCATAGCCAATCTTGTTATTCTAATAAACATTGTGTTTAATTTTATTGACATTTTTCTTTTCATTCTTGAGTGATAATTGCTTTTTTCCTTTTGTGACTGCACTGGAGTTGAGCCTTTTCAGGTCTTCATTTCTTCTATTTAAATTTCTTCTATTTAAAGAGAAATTATTCCTGTATTTCTCTTTGACCCTCACCTTGTGGGTTTTTTTTCCATTGTGGCTCCTGTTTGGGTATTTTAGAGCATGCATTATTTGCTGTTTGCCTCTGATTTAAAGGGGAGTCCAGAGGGCATACCTGAAGGCCTAATTTTGGCCATAAATGGAGTGTCGAAGGTGACCAAGTTGTGATTATTTAGACCTGAGTGAGGGAAGATAGCAGCTAACTCTTTTTCTGGCACCAACACCACCCTTCTCTTTGCTTCTGTGTAAGCCTGGTGTCTTGGTTCAAACTGATCCTCCAACTGCGCATGTACATGGCACTAGCAGTGAATCTGCATGTCAGTGACCTCTGTGGTTGCTCTGGGATGAGTCCTTGCAGCATTGGGTCTAGGAACTCCGCAGCTGTGCATTGGGTTTAGGCTCCGGCCTACTTCCTTCAGGAGGTCAAGCAGAAGTTCCAGGGATTCTAGGTGTTGAGGAGGCTGACCAGGCTGAAGAAACTTCAGGAGCAAAGGATACACCATGGGATCCTTCCCTCAGACTGCTTTGAGGGTGTGCATCTGATTCTCCTGCAGGGTTTCCACTGTTACCTAAAGGCTGGGCTAACATAGGTGCCTGTGGCTTGCTGTGTCCCTCACGCAGTGTTCTCTATACTCATCCTCAACTATCTTTTCAAGGTTTTGCTTCCATCACTCCAAAGTCAACCCACCAGGAACAAACAAACAAACAAATCCTGTGCCCGTCTCAAGGTTACCGATATGGATACTGATAAATAGCTAAACTTCAAACCGCACGTTATATAATCAGTCTGCTAAAGCTATCTGATACCTATTGATTCTCCTTCAATTCACTTTTATTTGGCTTTTGTGATTCCACAGTTTCTTGGTATTCCTCTATTGTTGGTTCTCCTTCTTAGCTTAGTGTTATCCTTTTATTGTTTTAACTCAATGTTGGAATGCTCCATGGTTCAGTCCTTGCTGTTCTCTACCCTTTCTACACTAAAATCCTTAATCATTTAAATAAATGTGGGCAACACCTACTAAAGTAATATATCAGGTTTAGTATATCTCATATATCAAGTGCCTACTCACTACTGACATTTTGTGTCTTAAAAGACATCTAAAGATTCAACATTTTTGAAGCTGAACTCTCAGTCTTCCCCTGAAACCCTGCTGGAACTGAAGTTTTCCCCACCCTGGTTGATGAAAACACTGTATTTCCAGATGCTCAAGACTAAAGTCTTTGAGCTAATGTCACCCTGGACTTGTCTCTTCTACATCTAGCCCTTAGACAAATTTTGCTTGCTATTTACCATATACCTAGAATACAACTAATAACCACTATACCAACTGTTAACTTTTCCTAAGCTGTGACATCCTTTCATCTGAGTTACTACAACCTCCTCATCAATTTTTTTCAACAGCTGTGTTTCCCTCAAAATAAAGTATCTTTACAATGGCTTGCACGCTTGGCATGATATGGTCCTCTGTTATCTCTCTGTTCTGCTCTAGCAACCACTCCTTTGCAAAGTGCTCTTCAATAACTTCCCCAACTTTCCTAAAACACATCAGCATTGTCCCATTGTAGGACCTCGCTAGCTTTCCCCTGTGCCTGGAATGCTTTTCCCTTAGATAACCACTGACTTATCACCTCACTCCTTCAAGTCTTGGCTCAAGTCTTTCCTTCTTGGTAGTCTACCTTGATCACTGTATTTCACAAAGCAACCTAAATTATCATATCCCTCCCACTGCCTTTGAATGATTTTTTCCCCATAACACTTAAGTTCTAACATACTCTGTACATATGATTACCTCCTCCTGCTAGAATTGTTAAGACAAATATCCAAAACATCTAAGATAGTGGCTGGAATATATTAAGTACCTAATAACTGACTACTTTTAGAACAATAGGCACCTATCAGGAAAGCATAAATATGTTTACTAGCAGACTGCCTTTGTATGCAATGGCACTGGTCTAATTTCTTGTTCAGGTTCTCATGTTGTATCACTGTAAGTGGCTTAAGGATAGAGGACTGAGGGCTGGCCATAATAGATAACATCTTACCAAAGTAATACTGCTTTCAGTTGCTGCTAGCGGGCCACCTAGCTCTACTCTGAATTTACCTCGTTCACAGGACATTCCTGAAAGCAGCAAGAAGTGTGCAACATGCATCCTGAATTCACCTCTGGCATTTCTTCCAACATCACAGCAGTGACTGATATACAAAGCATGGTGGTATGAGTGGGAGGCAGTGACACGACGTCCTGCCTGTTAAAACAAGCATCTTTCAGCTCCTACCTTAATTTGGGCAGTTCCTCATTCTCAACAACCTAGAGATACTCCAATGGCCTCAATACCCGATTTGAGATTTCCTTTACCCATAGCATCCCACTTCTAGCTACAAAATTTTATATCCTTAAGAATTTTTATTGTCAGTAACAGAACTACAATTGCATCAACAAATAAGATGTTTAATTTTATTTAAACAAACACAGGAGGCAAGCAGACCAGAGCAAGTATGGCTGTTCCACAAAATCATCAGGGTTGCAGACTCCTTCTGCATTTCTGCTCCATGATCCCTAACACCCAGATACCATTCTCAAAGTCCCCATGACAGTACTGGAGCTCCAGCTTTGATGTCCACGTTGTAGGAAGGGGAAAAAAAAGACAGAAAAAAATGGATTTCATAAATCTCCTACTCATATAAACACCACTTCTATCTTGTTGATCTGCAAGGAAGGCTGAGATAGTTTTTCAGCCCAGAATTTTGTTATTAAAAAAGAGAAAATAGATATAGAGTAGGAAAAAAGCAGTCTCTATCACAAACTCTTATCATTTTGCATTGCAAAATAGTCTGTAATATTGGTTCTTACTTTTGTTTACTTCAAAAGCAATACATTCAAGTTTTTAAAAATTTCCTAGATTAGACTTTGGATCTTAGACTTTGTTAAAAATCACTTCACGCCTTGCCCCAATTCTCAAACAGCTGTGCTCAATCATCTAGTCATTAAATCCACTGGCTTTTTTTTGAACAGTATGAATTTCCTCTTATAGCAATAATGGATGAGATTTAAATGACAGCTTTCTCACATTCATTATGGCATACAGTGCCCCTTACCCATCTAGGATGTGTTGATAAAAGATTTCTCAATATTTATTACACTCATAAGTGCTCTCCTCTCATGCAAATTCTCTAAAATAACACTAGGGAAAATGGTAGCTAATATTTGTGGTATGCTATGTTCAAGGCACCATTCTAAGAGCTTTCACATGTAATAACTTACATAATACTTCCAAGAATCTTATAATAAAGGTAATATACTTAGGTGTATCTTAAATGATTAAACCAAGGTAGAGGTTAAGTATCATGATACATATAACAATAACAACAACAAAAAATCAACTAGTAGAGCTAAGATAATGTTGAAAAAGATATTTGTTTTCAATATGGCTAAAGGCCTTCCTACATTTACTGTATTGAAACTATTCTCCAATTTGCTAATGTTTAATAGGTTTTCAGTAATGATAGGTTTTTCTATATGAATGACACTAACATTTTCTTTTCCTCATACAAATTCTCTGATGCTGTGCCTGAGGCAGATGTGCACCCATATTCACATCTGTGAGAATTCGTTGCTGATAACCAGAGAACCTCTTCATAGTGATCTCAAAGAATCAGACAGTTCACATGTAAACTTCTGAGCCGTGACTAAAGTCAATACCACATTCTTTATATTCAAAAGATTTCTCACTGATATGAATTCTCTGATGTTGTGTTAGTTGTGAACCACGAGTAAAGGCCTTTCCACATTCCTTACATTGATATGGTTTCTCACCAGTATGAATCCTCTGATGCCGAGAAAGATGTGAGCTCTGAGTAAAGGCCTTTCTGCATTCTCTGCATTCATAGGGCTTCTCACCAGTATGGATTCTCTGATGTAGAGTAAGTTGAGAGCCATGACTAAAGGCCTTGCCACATTCCTTGCATTCATAGGGTTTTTCTCCAGTGTGAATTCGCTGATGTTGAGTCAACTGTGAACCACGAATAAAGGCTTTCCCACATTCCTTACATTGATACGGTTTCTCACCAGTATGAATTCTCTGATGTTGTATAAGTAGTAAGCCACGTGCAAAGGCCTTTCCGCATTCATTACACACATAGGGTTTCTCACCAGTGTGAAGTCTTTGATGTTGGGAAAGATGTGAACTCTGAGTAAAGGCCATTCTACATTCTTTACATTCATAAGGTTTCTCACCAGTATGGATTCTCTGATGTTGAGTAAGCTGTGAGCCACGAATAAAAGATTTCCCACATTCCTTACATTCATAGGGTTTCTCACCTGTGTGAATTCGCTCATGCTGAGTAAGTTCTGAGCCACGACTAAAGGTTTTTCCACATTCTTTACATTCATAGGGTTTCTCACCAGTATGAATCCTCTGGTGTCGTGTAAGGAGCGAGCCACGATTAAACGCCTTTCCACATTCCTTACATTGATAGGGTTTCTCACCAGTATGTATTCTCTGATGTTGGGTAAGTTGCGAGCCATGACTAAACGTCTTTCCACATTCCTTACATTCATAGGGCTTTTCATTGGTATGAATTCTCTGGTGTTGGGTAAGTTGTGAGCCGCGGATAAAGGCCTTCCCACATTCTTCACATTTATAGGGTTTTTCACCAGTATGAATCCTCTGATGTTGCATAAGTAGTGAGCCCCGAATAAAAGCCTTTCCACATTCCTTACATTCATATGGTTTTTCCCCATTATGAATTTTTTGATGTTGAGAAAGCTGTGAGCCACAAATAAAAGCTTTCCCACATTCCTTACATTCATACGGTTTCTCACCGGTATGAATTCTCTTATGCAGAATAAGTTGTGAGAGCTGAGTAAAGACCTTCCTACATTCTTTACATTCATAGAGCTTCTCACCAGTATGAAGTCTCTGGTGTAGTGTAAGTTGTGAATTCTGAGTAAAGGCCTTCCCACATTCTTTACATTCATAAGGTTTCTCACCAGTATGAACTTTTTGATGTCGGGTAAGTTGTGAGCTACGAATAAAGGCTTTCCCACATTCTTCACATTTGTATGGTTTTTCACCAGTATGAATTCTATGATGTAAAATAAGTTGTGAGCTTTGAGTAAAGGCCTTCCCACATTCCTTACATGCATAGGGTTTCTCACCAGTATGAAGTCTCTGATGAAGACTGAGTTGTGAATCACGACTAAAGGCTTTCCCACATTGCTTACATTCATAGGGTTTTTCACCAGTATGAATACTTTGATGTTGTGTTAGGTGTGAGGCTCGTCTAAAGGCTTTCCCGCATTCCTTACATTTATAGGGTTTCTCAGTAGAATGACATTTTGAATGTTGAGACAAGTAAGTATGCTGGTTGAAAATGGACATTTTGTCATATATGATTATCCCTTGCCTGAAATATTCCTTCTGATTTTCTTGTTGCTTCTCCATCTTGGCTTTGGCTTCCAAATATTCCCTAGAATTGGACTCCTCAAGGTCACACTTTTCAAGCCTGTTACTCATTTCCCATTGGGATAATTCTGTTTCATAAGTGTTCTTTTCTGGAGATAAGTCCTTTCTTGCACACCTTGAAGGCAAGTCTGAAATAAGAGAGAATTTAAAAATTGAGAAATATAACTTCTATAGCAAAGACAAATAATAGGAAATTATAATATCCATTAAAAAAAGAACATAAAATACATGAGTTTGTTTCAAATATTGCTTACTATGACCCATGATACCTACCTTTCACATCACAACCTACTATAAAGTTTCATAAAACAGTATCTTCCCTGCTTTCTATTCTGTTCTGCAATAAGTCTGCTCTTTTCTATTTCTCTCTCTCATACACAAAACTGACTAAACTGATTTCATAGTACAGAAATGTTCCTACCTAGAATTAAAAAATTGACTAAACTGATTTCATAGTACAGAAATGTTCCTACCTAGAATTAAAAAAAATAACAAAACTGATTTCATAGTACAGAAATGTTCCTACCTAGAATTAAAAAAAATTAGCTTAGAAATATCTCATATATTAATATATGAAAGGGGCATCTGAGAGATGAGAGAATAATGAAAACTCAGATGAGAAGATAAGGGAAGAGATTAAGAAAAATTTTAAAGTCAGTAGTTCTCAAGCTTTGGTGGAGATCAAAATCACCTGGGGAGCATGTTAAGATTATAGTTCTCCAACATTACACCAGGCTAATTGCTAGTGAATCAGATAAAGATTCTGGAGATCTCATTTTTAATACTTCCTATCAACTGATTCATATTCAGATCATGATTTTCTGTATCTGCTTAATACTTTTTAGTAGCTTCCATGTTAAACTTAATATAAAATCCAAACTCTTCAATGACTTTGACTCATTTCTGACAATCCAAAAATTTGGATTAAGGTCATTTAAGACTGCTTGCCATAGCAAACTTAAATCATTACTGGATTTTGTATAATGTTATGCAAGGACTGAAATTTTTAAATTTTTCTTTGCAATGTCTGGCACTCAGTAAAAACCAGGTCAATGAAAGCACAAAACAACTGAAAAACAGGAGAAAAAATAAAAGAAACTTTGACCTATAAGGACTCAAGTCATGTATCCACCCACCATCATACTTCTATTAATCTTAAATACCCTTGTCCTGGTCCTCTGTAATCAACCCTTCATTCCACCCTAGTGGTAGATGCCTAGAAACCAGTGACTGTGGTTTCCTTACAAATTCCTTACAGATAGTAGCAAAAGCACCTCCATACTAACTCTATGATCCTATTTACCTCTCCAATTGCTCTTCTTTAACTCTCCCTATCCCTTTCAAACAAGATACTAAGTTGCTTTTGTTTACTTATTCTTACTTCACAGTTTACTTTGTTCCTTCATGCTTTGGCTCACGTCTTCTCATCTTGTCTATTCAAGAACAATTCTGTGCAACACATCCTAGAGCTCCCAGGTGCTGCTACAGGTCTAAAACATAATGAAAGGGTTCTATAATCTCATGGAATGTTGGAGAGAAAAAAGGCAATTATCCAGGCTGGGCGTGGTGGCTCAGCCTGTAATCCCAGCACTTTGGGAGGCCAAAGAAGGTGGATCATTTGAGGTCAGGAGTTTGAGACCAACCTGGCCAACATGGTGAAACCTCATATCTACTAAAAAATACAAAATCAGCTGGGTGTGGTGACAGGCATCTGTAATTCCAGTTACTTGGGAGGCTGAAACAGGAGAATCATTTGAACCAGGGACGCAGAGGTTACAGTGAGCCAAGATCTTACCACTGCACTCCAGCCTGGGCAACAGAGCAAGACTCCATCTCAAAACAAACAAACAAACAAACAAACATATATATATATGGAGAGAGAGAGAAAGAGAGAGAGAGAGAGAAGATTAAAAGAAAATAAAGAAGATCAAGCAATGAAGTAAGAGCCAGAAACTAGAGAGGTCAACGTGCTCTGAAGTCAGAGCTACCCCTGGAACATTTGCTGGCTTCAGTAGCCTAAAGTTCTATCTTAGTGTTCTGAAAAGATTTAAGAGACAAGCCCTTGCACCCACACAAGAGCAGTGATTAGAAATAAACCACTTTACAAAATTCGAAACTATTCAAGGCCTAAAGTTCAGAGACAGGAAAAAAAGTTCATCTGACCTCAGTCTTGGCCATTTTTAAAAAATTGACTTTTACTCTGAGTTGGGGAGCCAAAATTAATACATAAAAAGATCGTTAATGGGAAAGTACAAAAGCTAGATGGATAGAAGTTAGGTGGCTAGTATAATCCACCTGGCTCAGACCAGATGATCGTGGAGGTAAGGGTGGAGGAAGTGAGGTATCATTAGAGAACGGATATATTTTGAAGGTATACTAAAGAGGATGTGATGATGGAATGGACATGTAACATGGAAAAGAGAACACAAGGAAGACTATGCATGTTCTGCCTGAAAGGCTGGAACGAAGAAGTGCTACTTACTGAGAACTCTTCACTGTTGTGATAGGGGCAGATCTGGAAGAGAATGTGAAGAGTCTGGTTTTGAACTATTAGATATCAAATGAAAATGTTCAACAGACACATATATGTGCAAGTATGTGACTCTAGGGAGGTGTTTGGATTACAGATATAGTTTGAAAGTCATTACCAAATAAATAACATTTAAAGCTATGAGATTTGATGAGGTCACCCAGGGAGTACCTTTGTATATAAAACAGAAGGAGAAGGATGAAAAAGGGATGTTTGATGATTGAACCCTTGGTCACTTCAGGTAGATGAGAAGGAAACAGCAATGGAGACTAAGGAGTAGCCAGCGAGGAAGGAGGAAAATTAGGAGAGCACAGAACCCCAGAAGCCATGTGAAACAAGAGTTTTAAGAAGGAATGATTGGTTATATCAAATGCTGAGACATGAGGCAAATGGTGCAAATTTTTTTTTTTTTGAGATGGAGTCCTGCTCTGTCGCCCATCCTGGAGTACAGTGGCACGATCTCAGCTCACTACAACCTCCACCTCCCGGATTCAAATGATTCTCTTGTCTCAGCCTCCTGAGTAGCTGGGAATCCATGCACACACCATCACGTCTGGCTAATTTTTTTGTATTTTTAGTAGATACAGGATTTCATCATGTTGGCCAAGCTGGTCTCGAGCTCCTGACCTCAGGTGATCCCCCTGCCTCGGCCTCCCAAAGTGCTAGGATTACGGGTGTGACCCACTGCACCAGGCCTAAATGTGCTTTCTAAATTAAAAATGGCTTTATTAGCAATATGGAGATTACTGGTAATCTTCACAAGAATGGCTTTGGTAGAATAATGGGAGCAAGTTCTGACTGAACCAGATTCAAAAGAATGAGAGAATGAGAGAAAAGCTGGTGTTAGGGAAAATGGAAAATTATTTTGTATTTTTCTGTAAAAAGTAGCAAAGAAGGCCAGGTGTGATGGCTCATGCCTGTAATCCCAGCACTTTGGGAAGCTGAGGCGGGTGAATCATGAGGTCTAGAGCTCAAGACCATCCTGGCCAAAATGGTGAAACCCCATCTCTACTAAAAATACAAAAAATTAGCCGGGCATGGTGGTATGTGCCTGTAGTCCCAGCTACTTGGGAGGCTGAGGCAGGGGAATTGCTTGAAACTGGAAAATGGAAGTTGCAGTGAGCTGGGATCGTGCCACTGCACTCCAGCCTGGCGATAAAGCATGACTCTCTCAAAAAGAAAAAAAAGTAGCAAAGAAATGGAGCTATATCAGAAAAATGTGTATATCAAAAGATTTGTTTCTGTGTTTTTCCTTTTAAGATAGAAGAAACTATAACATGTTTTTATGCTGATGAGAATTATTGTAAAAGTTATGGACAAGTTGATGTTAGAGGAGACAAAGGGCAATTGCTTCAACAATGTCCTTAAAAATATGAGAAGGAATGGAATTCAGTATCCAAGTGAGAGTACTGGCCTTAAGTAAAGGCACAAAAAGTTTACATGTCTACAGAAAAAGAGGTTGAATGAATATAGATGAAGGTAGGTAAAAACACAAGGAAGCAGGAACTTGCAGAAATTCTCTACTGCTAGCTTCAGTTTTCTCAGTGAAATCAGCTCAGGGACATCATCTAAGAGCCAGGCAAGGAATTATAATAGTCATGACCATTATGTAACTAACAACTTAACTCCTAAATAAAGAAAAACTAGCAGACATACAAAGAAATGAATCATAGTCATAGTAAAGAATAGAATATAAACAGAAAAGAAATAAAAACAAGGAAGACTATAACATAATAATATAGGCAGATAGATAAAACTGATATAAAATGTTTTCAATTATCATATTAGCATAAAATTAAAAATTATAAAAACATATAATCCTTGAATTAAGTAACTAAGACACTTCTATATGATGTTTGTTATAGGAGGAAATAAAATAAAATTTAAAAACAATTTAGAGGCAGGGTGCAGTGACTCACGCCTGTAATCCCAGCACTTTGGGAAGCTGAGGCAGGCGGATCACGACGAGTTCAAGAGTAGCCTGGCCAACATAATGAAACCCATCTCTATTAGAAATACAAAATTTAGCCAGGCACGGTGGTGGTGCATACCTATAGTCCTGGCTACTTAGGAGGCTAAGGCAGGAGAATTGAACCTGGGAGGTGGAAGTTGCAGTGAGTCAAGATCATGCCACTGCACTCCATCATGGGCAACACAGTGAGACTCTGTCTTAAAAAAAAAATTTAGAACTAAATAGCGAAAGAAACGGTGGGAAAGCCCATGAAATCAGCTAAATTTGTACCTAGAGAAATTTACAGTTTTAAGTACATTTATTAAAAAAACAAGAAATATTATAGTTAAAAACAAGAGAATTAAGATTTCACCTCAAGAAGTGAGCAAAAAGCATTAACTAAAAACCAAAAATAAGCAAGATAAAAATCAGAAAATGAGTTAATTAGAAATGCAGAAACAGCAGAAATAATTAGAAAAACTAAAATACCAAAATTCTTTGAAAATATCAATAAATAATACAAAAAAGTGACATGTAGGAAAAAAATACGTGGAGCACAAATCCAAAGCACTGGAAAGAAAAAACAAACCATAAATTCAGGAGATAAAAAGTATTTATGAGAGATTATGGGTGTGACATCAGCAAGA